TGGAGGGCGTGCCGAAACCGGGCTAATCGAGGAAGAGCTGCTTCAGGACCTCAATGAATTTGGTGTGGCCCGCGGCCTTACAAATGGTCTTCTTGTTAAGGCCCATACAGTTTTGGAGTGGGATCGGGAGAGCCAGACTTGGTCATTGGGCGGGAAATTCCCCGCAATCAGCGTCGAAGCTGCTTCATTAGATAGGGCATTAGCCGAGGCACGAATCACTGAGGCGCCACATGAGGCAGAGCCAGTGCCCGATGCACCTTTCTTCGTCACAGTCAGCCATAGTGGGTTCAGACGTCTTCATGTTAGCAGGGCCTGTGCAGTTCGTCAGGAGCGTTGCCTTGAGTGGACACCTTTGCAGCAGGTCACAGCTGAGTGCGCGGATGCAGTGTGCAAGTTGTGCAAACCTAGGCTGGACTCGCTTGAAGACATTTCTAGTAACAGTGCTTCTTCTGATTCCGCGCAGGAGCTGCAGTCAAGCTGAAGAGTGCGCAAATTTTGCAGCTGCTTTGCGGGTGCATGATGCTGTTGTTTCTTGCACATGTCTTCTTCAGAGTCAGCCATCTAGAACACGAGTGCGCCGAGTTTTGGCAACATTGCCATGCCCGAGTCAAAGTGGGCAAAGTGCCAGGAATTGCCGGTTGGCAGATTCATTTGGGAACAGCCGAGTCAGAGTGGCTGCCCTGGCTAGGCTCCAGGGAATTGTATGTGTCTTGCGTGCAAGTGCTTTAGCAAAGTTCAGGCTCAGGCAATTTGGTTTCCCCCTCTTGCTCTCAAGATGGAACTGCCTGACGGAGTCACAGAAGATGCCGCGGTGCTCTACCTGTCTTCTAAGGTGGACTCGAGTCTTGCACACATGTGGCAAGAGGCTGGTGTCCCGATTGCTCTGCAGTATAAGCTTGGTCAGAACTTCACCACCGTTAGGCGATTCGCCTCATATGAGGACGACCGGGCCAAAGTCCGAAATGCCGACAGATTTTGCACTCGATGGGGCCGCCGATCTTCCCAGTCGGGCCGCAGTTGCCGCTATCATCAGTGCATGGGAGTCCTGCCAGCACTTTGCAGTCAAGGAGGCCGAATTGAAAGCAGAAGCAAAGGTCCTTGGGGTCACGCGCCCAGTGACACAAACTGATCGCATGGCGATGAAGGTCTCATACGAGAAGACGTATGGCACTATCGAGGACTCCGTTGAACCGTCGGATGACTATCTATCTAGCAAACTCGAAGAGCTCGAGTCTCACGAGCCTTGCGCATCACAGCTATCAGAGGTGACCAGTAAGAAGAACGCCCGCACGATGGGCGTTCAAACTTCCGTGGACACATCCGGCCACGTTCGCATAGTCAAAAGCAAGCAGAAAGGCAATCTGCCACAGGGCACCGAAGAACTTCGTCAAGTCCTCAAGGTGGAAGGAAACACATGGTGCTACTTGGCAGCGAAATTCAGGAATCGTGAAATGCTGCGCGACATGACCCCAAGAGTTTGGGAGGACTACACCAATTTCCTTCTGGGCGAGCGCTGCTTCCTCATGAAGATCCACGGGGGCGGAGTCAAAGGCATGGAGGGCTCCATGCTTCGGCCACCGTGGCACATTCTTCTCAGTTTCGAGTACGAGCTACGGAAGGAGGCCATCAAGAAGGCCCATCATGATAACCGCCCACTCAAGGACACCCTTGCAGAGGTCGTCAAGGACCCAGAGCTCAAAGAACGATTTTTCACAAGCCCCATTGCGTTGCAACCGAGAATGTTGGAGACCGGGTGGAAGCGCGCTTGGCCGGGCAAGGGTAAAGACTCAAAGGGCAGCACATGGCCTTCCGATGTTCCCCTGCCTACTAACTGGAAGTGGTCCCGCAAGGACGGGAAGGGCAAGCAGGCCAAGGGCAAGCCGTCCAAAGGCAAGGGCGACAAGGCAGGCAAGAGTAACAATGGCCTCGTGGACCGCACGCCGGATGGCCGCGAAATTTGCTTTGCGTTCAATGCGCAGGGCTGCGATGGCACTTGCGGCAGAATCCACATTTGCAGAGTGCGCGGCTGCGGTGAGGCACACGCAATGTGGGAGCATTTCCAACGGCTCTCGCTCAAAGGGCAAGCCAGACAATGCCACTGCGGCAAACTGACATGACGACAAGACGCTTCGCGTGCTGTATTTATTTGCAGGGCATGCGCGCGAAGGTGACATCCATGACGCCCTCAATCAAATTTGCACGCAGATGGGATGGCATTTGGTCATCCAAGAATTTGACACTCTGCGCGGGGCGGAGTTCGACCTTAGCTCATCCTCAGTCTGGGCTGACCTGCTCACTCAAGTCGAGGCCGGGTCTTGGGATGTTATCATGCTAGATTTCACTTCGCGGGGAAGTTTTCCCCCAGGCCGCTGCGCACCAAGGCATACATGCGTGGTTTTCCGTGGCTCCGCAATGCTGACAAGGCAGCTGTGGACCTTGCCAACTTCTTCGTCGACCAGTGTGTCAGGCTTGCCAAGCTTCAATGTGCGGTAGGCGGGTTCTTCCTTCCCGAACAGCTAGGCAAGGTCCACACTATCGAGATCCCAGGCTCAATTTGGGACTTCCCAGAGTTGCGAGAGTTGGTGGAGCAGACGTCTTCCGCAACCTGGCCCATTCATCAATGCTTCTTCGGCGCAGAATCGCCCAAGCCAACACGCCTGGCAAGCAACCTGCCAGGTGCCATTAGGTTCGGTCAATGCTGGCCCATGCTTGATTCAGAAGGCTCATACATGGGCCCGTTGGGCCACTGCCCTCATCACCACACAGAACCCCTGTTAGGGCAGTCAGCAACTGGCTGGAAAACAAGTAGTTCTGCAGCATACCCAGCTTTGTTTTGCACTTTCCTTGCTCGCCTGATCTTCTCTGCAACAGCTGCTCTGCGCCAGGTTGCACATGGCATGGACTCCCTGCATTACCACCCGGCCGAGGCCTTGGCGGAAGCCATTCTTCATTCAGGCCACCTGCCCCTAAAGGAAGATGTCTTGGCATGTTTTGAGCTGCTGCCTCGCACTAGGGCACACAAAGCCACAGGCCACCAGGAAGAGGGTTCTGCATTCTTCGCTGGCGCGAACTGGGAAGCAGCCGGCCTCGTGCTTCGGCAGAACTCATTTATCTTTCCCATGTCTTGCACACTCATCTGCAAGTTTATCCGCCACTTGGATAAAGCCCACGAGTTTGCAGCTTTCGTGATCATGCAGAACGTGTGCAGTTCACCCCGCCGGGATATGCGCAACAGCTGGAAACCAAATCTGGTGGCAGCAGTGTCTGACTTCGAGCAAGGCGGGATTTGGCACGAGTCCCCAGGCGGCTCCGACTGGCGAGAAATTGAGGGCCAGTGGCGTCGAGGAGAGGTCATCTCCCTCCAGCCAAGGTCTCCGCCAGGACACACTTTCATTCCACAGAGCTGTGGCAGGGCAACCGATGCATTATCATTGCCTACCTCCCAGAGCAGCTGGAGCATCTTTCATCGTCTGATGCTGCCCATTTGCTGGGCCTAGGCTTCCACTTCTTTGACGGGAGGGGCTAGGGGTGCGTAGCCTCGTCCCATCAACAGAACATCACGGGGGCCCAGGTTTCAGGTCAAGGTGCCCAAAGTTCCCAGGCTTCAGGTCACTCTGCCCGAGGTGCACAGGTCGCAGGTCGAGGTCCCTCTGACACACTGGGTACGCAGCTCACGGGCCAGGGTTCATCCCTACCTCCCACGGTCCGGCTAGGTATCGAACATTCAGGTGCAGCAAGCGCGCCGGTCCCAGGCGAAGGTAGATCAGTTGCCACAACCGCTCAGGCAACATACGCGCGAGCCCCCTGGCAGGGAAGGTCAAGAACCCCAGGTGCACAGGCCACAGGTCAAGCTGCAGCAGGTGCAAATCCTGCAAAGGCCGCAGACCTTCAGGAATGTGGGTCGCAGGTCAGGTTCGGCCCCAGGAGACCAATCAGGTGGAAGTTGTTGAATCCTCAGGCTCAGAGGATGGGGACGGAGAATTCGACCCCGCAACGAGCAGGTGTTTTGGGCAGCCCATGGTGTGCCGTTTCGAGGCTTCAAAGCGCTTGTTCACAGACGGCTTTGGGTTATGCTCACCAGGCCGATGGGCACCTGCGGCACTGGGAAGGACCGCTACGGAGGAAGAGTCTTCGCAAGCCAAGCTGATCACATCTGTCCTCGAGAGGTTTGTTAAGGAGCACTTAGGGGATGCTAGGGAGTGCTCTTTTAGGTTAGCGGGGACGGATGTCACCGTTAGGTTTGGACACCGCCCCCATTGCTGCGATCAAGACCCTGTCGCCATGTTCCTGCTTCGCGGCCGGCTCTGTTGTCGCCACCATGCGCCCTAAGCGCTCATCTTCGCGGAAATGCTCTTCCAGCTGGTCTGCTGAAAGTTCTGCTGAAGCATAATTTGCCATGTCTGGTTCAAAAGGGGTGTCATCAAACTTACGGAATTTCGGCTTCTTTCTGAATACTTGAGGTGCTCCTGGGAGAGGCTGGTCATACCCTATAGGCATCCCGTTGGCGAAGCACTCAGTCCCTTGCGTGAGCACAGACCAGTCCGGGTCGCCTAGGATTTGCAATGACTGCGCCACAAAGTTCAGAAGGAAGGGCTGACCCTCTGGCACCTTCAGTGCACCCTCTGAGTCCGGCACCGTGTTGGCGAGCTCCCTTCTAAGCTTACCCAAGGCAACAGGGGAGAAAGGAGGACCAGACAACTTCCCGGTGCACGACGGCACACACGGAGTTCGCCTCAACCCTTGCATCCGTATCCTGGATCAGCTGGAGGTGCCAGGTCCTGCTGACCTAGTTGAGGTCGTAGCTAGAGCGACCGAATCTAACGAGGCAGTGTTTTGCATGTCGGCTGATATCAGCCAGGCACACAGGCAGGTAAAGGTGCGCCCTGCTGACTGGCCACTGTTAGGCTGCCGCGCACGCAGCGACTCTCAGGTGCTTTGGTTTAATAGGGTCGGAACGTTTGGAGTGAGTTCCGCGGCGATCCTTTGGTCTAGATTATTTGGCTGTGTTGGCCGATGGGTTCTGAGGGCCCTTTGCACGAGCCACCATTTTCAAGTCATTTACGTGGACGATCTCCACATTATTGTCTATGGCCCCGGCAAGTTTGTGGTGCTTTGGATGGTTTTGAGCGCATACCTGGCTGTGGGAACGCCCTTCTCCTTTCGGAAGTTCAAAGGAGGGGTTTCGGCAGAATTCGTGGGATACTTCCTTTCCTACGAGAAGCGGGCCGCCGGCATTTCGCCAAAGAGACTTCAATGGGTCATTGAATGGATCAACGAGGTTGAGCGGGGGAGGTGGTTCGTCACGGGCCGCCGCTTCAGCGAATTCCTCGGGAGGCTCAACTTTGTGGCACGCCTCCTGGGTTGGATTCGGCCGTTCCTGGCACCTCTGTTTGCATTCAATTCTGTTCTGCGTCGCAGCACCGTGGCACGCATGCCGGAGCTCGCACACATATCGCTTGTCTACATCAGAGACGAACTCAGGGCTACAGACGGCCTGCAAACTGTGAACCAAGTCTGGTATGCACCCCGAGAAGTCTTCCGCACAGACGCCAAGTGCGAGCCAGGGCGGGTCGTCGTCGCAGGCTGGTCCACCATGCAAGGGCTGGATACCAAGCAGGCACCTTGGTTCAGCCTTGAGATCAAGCCGAACGATTTGCCTTTCTTGTTCAAGGAGGACGGAGAGTCCGGCTGGGCCTCGACGTCAGCAGAGTTCCTCGCATCGTACGCGGCCATGTTTGCATTCGGACATCTTCAAGGAACTGTAGCAGGCGTCAAAGACTGCGTCCAGGTGAGCGTGTGCGGAGGGACAGACAACAAGTCGACACCCGAGGTTCAGCGAAAGGGGCTCACAACGAAGTGGCCACTTTTCGGTTTGCAGATGTGTGCGCACGCAGAGATGAAAAAGGTCAACAAGCGGTTGGTCCTCAACTGGAGGCCTAGGGACGAGAATAGCAATGCCGACGCGTTGACTAACTCTGACTTTAGTGGGTTTAGTCCTGGCCTTAGGGTTCCCCTAGTCCTCCAACAACTCCCCTTGGGGTTGATGCATCGCCTGACGAAAGTACGGCAGGGTTTCCTAGAGGCACGGAGCACATTAGTCAGCCTGCAGCCGCGGGAGGCAAAGTGCACGAAGAGGGAAAAGCAGGCGACCAAAACAGCATGGTGAGTTCCACAGCCGTGGCATCACCTTCGGAGGGGGGGACACATGATGCCATGTCC